AACGCTCTTTTGTAGAAAGAGATTTGATTGGGATTACAGAGTGGTCGTTTGTTTCATGAATGCACGCAGCTTATAGGTTCCTTTGTGCATGAACCGATGTCTGAAAGTTGCTACACATAGATGACGCGAAGATAACTTCAAGCTACATTTGCTGCAACTCAATTTGTTGAATCCTTCTATTGGCTCACTGATTTTCGGCACTTGCAATAAGAAATGAATTCTTAACAACTATTAACAAGCAACCTCCAAGTAAGCTGTAGACAATGGGCAGTGGAGTTTATTTTCTTTTGCAGTGAGAAAAATGCGGTTTTGCAGCCCGTTGGAGCAACTTCCGATGGTGCGGTGTGACGCGCGAATTCTGCTACGCATAGGGAACACCGCCTGCTGTGCGTGCAAGGCGCATCAGCGCGGGACCGATACTGGTTGATACAGCTTTATGCGGTGGACAGCACCGGAATACAAATTATCTTTATGCACTCTCCCCGCTCACATTAGCTATTATCCCCGGGCAGAGCCGGCGTGCCAGCTAGTAAAATAGCGTCGTGGTAACAACAGGCGGAGTACTAGTCAGATGCTAGTGAGATCTCGAAGGGAGCAAGGGCGTTATAATCGAAGAATTATCCACGAAGGAATTGCTCAAACCAGCAATTTTCCCTGGTTTCCACTGCGGCTTCGACAGTAGCACAGAAACTGCGATAGAATCAGGACTAAAATTTTGCCAATTAGTTTGCTTGAAGCATTTCTCACGCAGCTGTATCGTATACAAACTGTGCGAATGATAGAAATAATGACCAAAAATACTGGACACAATCTGCAAGGTTGAAAGAAGCTGCCACATATTCTCGATAAGTAGCTGCAGAGAATTTCTCCTCTGCTAAGATACTTTACAAAGCAATTTTCCGTAATTGAAGCAAATCATCTTAATGTTACCCAACTGAATACGATACAAACTTTTTTAGAGAAAGTGTAGGACTTACTCCAGCGCCAAATCAGCCATGAGATTTACATCTCCATTGAGTTCAAACGGTAAAAAGTCAGCCGCATTTTTCTAAATTGCTGCATATCGCGCAACAAATGCAGACTTCGAGAACGACGTACCACTGTAGTTCTGTTGACTGTCGGCTTAGGTGCCGGCGTAGTAGCATGAGTTCCCGGCGCCTCACGCCCCGTCACGTCACCACCTTGCACTTCACAGGCTAGTGCGGATAGAATGCATAACCATAAAGAAGACCACATTTCGATGAATGATTCCTTCCGAGAATCACAAGTTAGATAAAACTCGGCTTATCTCGTTATCAGTGTAAACAATATGTTGCGATTATCATAGCTTAGAGCCTCTAGCCATCTAAGGTGCATGCTTCCCAAATCATATCCGGGCTCATGACCCCGAACTGTGAGAAAAGGGGGCGTGGCAAAAAATTTTCTACGAGGCTAATATGAACAAAAAACTCCAAAAATTATTCCAATTATTTACAAATATAAACAAGTTACTAGCACAACTTTATAATCCATGCAAATAACTTGCAAAAATTTCGAGACCCATTCTAGCCCTCTCCCCTCAGTCCGCCATTGATGGGTGGAGAGCGCACTTTCACATATGTAGGTAAAGATGCATCTGATATAGAGGCATAAGCTCAAAGCACGCATTAACCAAAACAGGCTATTTAGTATACTTGGAAAAATTAAGAATTTTTCAGAATGAATGAATATCGAATAAATATGAAAACGAAATATTTCAAATTAAACGAATTTCCAATAGATTCGAAAATAAAAAATTTCAAATTAGAAGAAATCGAGTAAATTAGATATGCGAAATTTTTCGAATGAATGAATCACGAATAAAATCGGAAAATCAAAA